AATTAAATGTACCATTAGACTCAATTTATGTAAATTGATTCTCTTTTTATTTTTAATCACAATTGAAATACCTACCGGTTAGAATTTTGCATTGCGTAGTATGTCTATGACTACTGACTCTTGCTCAAAATAACAAGTGCTACATATAATGGGTCTAATGTTTGATCTATACGTCGAATTAGTTCATACAATCAAACTATCATGACACATGCATGAAGAAAATGATCCTAACTTCACAAGTACGACAACAAAATAACTAAATAGTACATGAGTACAAGTGCTTCAAAGTAGTTCAAATAAAGTTGTAGGTGTGTAGATCGAGAACTCCCTTTCTTTTTCTCGTGTTTCTTTTTAGCCATATGCTAATTTGACTGTTATGCGGCATCAAAATTTTTAATATCGGGCCTTCCTTTCCTTTCCTTGTTTGTTGTCATCTCTGCTAATCTACCAAAAATTTCAAAGAAATATTTCTACATTTGGTACAAAATGATTTAGTCACGATGAACCTTCAAACAAACTATGTAAATAGTGTCCCACAACACCTTTTATCTCATGATCTTATTATGGTAAATACTTATGCAAGGTAACATGAGTCGGTAATTAGATAATGCATAACTCAGAATAGACGGAAAAACAATTTAATCTCAACTCTGATTAATTTTGAAATTAACATATTTAACCAAAAAATCTTTGTATAATATTATTGAAAGGAGGCGAAGGTAAACATTAAAACAAGGTATAAGTAAAATATTCTATCAATAAAGAAACTAAAATTAACTATCCAACTTAGGAAAAGAAATACTAACTTGGTTTATTGGAGGTTGATATATATATATATATATTGCAAATTGTGGTTTCCTCTTTTTTCTTTCGTTTTTTTCGTTATGCCCCTTTGAAATTCTCCATCCTACAAGGGGTGGGAGCAATTCCGAGAAGTCTATCCCTCGTATATCAAATAGTTCAACTTCTAAGATGAAGTTCAAGGACGTTTCTTCGATAGATGGCTTCATTGATGAAAATTTTCTTTTCTCTAATTCCAATGATTCAAAAACTGAAATTATTCTAGTTGGTGTCTTCTTGTTGTTGTTGTTTCCAACTATTTGCTAGATTTTCTGTCAATTCATAAATTGTCGAGCATTCCTCTAATTTTGCTAAATATTTTAGGGTGTCATTGACATTGAATTATATTTGTTGATCATTCATTCTCAATATTATAGTTCTGTTGTGGGCATCTATCAATGTTCTTCTAGATTTGAAAAAAGGTCTCCCTAAGATAATTGGAACATCATGGTCTTCTTCATAATCCAAAACGATAAACTCTGCAGAAAATATGAACTTGTGTACTTGAATTAATATATCTTCGATCTTTACTTTTGGATGAATGAAAAATCGGTTTACCAGTTGAAGGGTGACTGTAGTTGGTCTAGTTTCACCAATATCTAATCTTTTGTAAATAAGACAATGACATTAGATTAATGTTTGATCCCAAATCATATAAGGCTCATCCTAGCTCCTTCCATCCAATTGATATTGGGATTGTGAATAAGTTTGGGTCTTTTTCCTTTACTGGGATATTGTTTTTCAATATTGTACTACACTCTTCATTCAACACTACCACTTTAAATTCTTCACATTTTCTTCGATTGGTGAGGGTATCCTTTAAGAAATTAACATAATTAGACATCTTTTAAGGCTCCCACTAGTGGTATGTTTATATGAATTTCCTTAAAGATATCCATGAAATTTTCGAAATGGAATTTCTTCTTCCATTTTATTCTAGGTGGGAAAGGAGGTGGTAGGATATATGTTCTGATCACTCTCAGCTGCTGTTTGCTACTTGTGTTTCTGGAGGTTGTTCTGATTGTGCATAATTTTTGCTCTTCTCCTTCTGTTGAGCATTTTTCTCCTTTCTCTGATGTCTTTCAACTGTCACTTAGAAGTAACTGTTGCTGTTTTCCTTCTTTTCACCTTCCATGTTGGGTATTTCCTCACTTCTCAATTGTATTATTTGACATTGTTCCATCTTCTCTTTTTGGAATTTTGATATCTGTTTGGTAGCTTTTCAAGAAGTCTATTTTGTAATTCAATGGATAATTCACCTACTTGAACTTGTGATATAGAGTCACAAGCATCCTTGCAAAATGTACAAAATTGTTCTTGGCCATATATTCTTTTATTAGGCTCTTCGGTTATTTTTTTGATATGTATTGAGCTTAGCCAGTTCCTTTCCCTTCGGTATTGGCTTCTTGAGAACCATATGCCATTTGATTGTGTAGTCCAAAGCCTGAAGGGTAATTTGTCTTAGGTGTCATTTGTTGATTGACCTAGGTCAAAATGTTTCCAGTAGGCTGAACACTCTAAGATCACGAGCGACGATCAGTGGTCGAGACCATAGTGCTCCCAAAAATTAGATTAACCAGAATGAGCTAATCTCGAGAGTCCAAAAAATGTGAGTTCGAGATTTAAACCATATAAATGCCATAAGATCCTAGTAAACCTCCATGGCACCTAAAGAAATTAAAGATAATATTGCTGGCAGCATGAACGGTATCACTCGAGTTTGACCACCTCTTATTTTGCTCCAATATCTCGGTAGCATTATTCGATGACCTAGGTCGAACCTAATAGTGCCCCTTCCAAATGGTAAGTATCTAAGAAATCGTATCGTTGAGCTTGACTAAGTTCAAATAGGATGATGTCATGGCAACTTTAGGAGTTACTATTGTGTATAGAGATGGGTCGAGAGCTTAGGCTGTAATTCTATAAACTTGTCTTAAGAGAAGACGAGAGACAGATAGAACCAAGACAGCTCAAGCATACAATATTAATGTCACATTAAGAAAATCAAGCTTCATTTATGCGACAAAGACTTCAAGATACTTGAAGTGGGGCTTCATTTATTCTTAGAAGGGTACATATTTATGAAAGAATATTAAAAACTAGATTTATGGTCTTTCATTAATGTATTTTAAGTTTTAAGACTTTTTATTTACATTTAGGTTACATTTACACCTATTTATAAAGAAGACTTGGAAAATGTAGTAAAAGGAGCATTTGTGCTTTCCTTTAGTCAATGACTAAGTTTTTTTTGCAATTCTATGTAGTTTATGTTGCATGTAGAATCATTCAAGCTTAACATGATCAATCTTGCTTGTGGATTGACTCTTTACCATTAGGACTGAGTGTGCTTACCTTTCCTTTGCAATTTTATGTAGTTTAGATTCCATGTTTAGAATCATTCAAGCTAGACATGATCGATCTTACTTGTGGATTGATTCAAATCTTTAACAAGGGTTCTTGCCTTAAGATATTCGATTAATAAGGTAATCTGAATCTTACTTCCTTTGTATTTATTCCTTATCATTTGGTATTACAGCTTTCCCTTGGGTTGATTCCTTATTAGACTACATATGTATTTTAGCTCATAATGGGTGCCACTATCGTGTGTGGAAAACGGTCAGGAGCTCCCTGAACCGACTCGATGCATTGTAAACCTGCCTTGAGAGGGGGCGAGGGACCACATGGGTAAAATGAGTTGGCAGGCACGCAAGGTCACTCCCCTAGACATTGATTGTGTGGTAGTTCTTATGGAAGGGTCGCCTATTAACCTTACACAAATGTGTTAAGATAAAGATACCATACTAACCTATGAGATACATTGAGCTCTTTCCTCAACCAAGAGTACTAGTCATTCACCGTTGTGACAATGAAAGCTTACTAAGTATGAGAACAGAAAAGTTAGTTCACCATCGAGATGAGATACGTTGTTTAGTACATCCGCGATGTTAAAACTAGGTCAACAACTTCTAGGCTCCGCAAGGTCTGTAACACCCCTAATTTTCTTGGCTAAAGAAGTGACGTCTCCACATGCATGCTTTAAATAACATATGCGGAAATTCATAATAAACACTTTAAAATGAAGCCATGGACTTAGACATTTAATTTAAAATAACATATTTGAAATAACATAGTCTTTTAACATGAAAAAATGAAATAAGTCACCTATCAACTACTAAATGAAATTAATGCATATTACTGTGCTATTTTGACTTCCATGGTCATTCCAACATTCATCGTCAAACATGCAGGGGCGGTGGGCAGTTTATCTTTACCTAAAAAATTTAAGGGTAGCATATGACTTTAGTATTTTAGAAATTTTTAGTAAGTCATCCAAACGTTGGGGTTAGTAATACAATCACACACATAACATGATTGAGGCCTATTCTTTAAAATTGTAACATGATCTTGTACTCTTTTCAGTTTAGGGTAGGGTTGGTTGTATGACACTTCCTCACACATGGTCCACGCACGTGCACATAGACCCACTAGGCGGGCTCGTATACATACCCCCTGGGCCTAACTTGGTCGGGCAAAACGTGCTAACACTTCACCAGATGCCATAGAAAAGGAAAGACTCACATGATATCATAGCAAACATAAATATCAAAGGTATACATTTGTACAAGCATAATATAACGACGAAGTATCTCAATACACATGACATACATACATGCATGAGGTCCCCATCTTAGATCACGGTGTTCCAAATGTTCCAACTAGACGTATTACATGATCCAAGGTCAAGAAGATTCAACAAGCATTCATTCTTCATTTAAAAAATTGGATACACTTGGTTCAACCATTATTTCATGTATTACAAACTGATTCATTTGAGGAATCACCATTTGGAGCTTCAGAAGTGAATATTTACACCATTGAAGTAGAGGATGAAGTTGATCTAAAGTACTTGATTGATAAATTGTTAGAAAACTTTATTTATTATTTTTAATTTCATAATTCTTGTAGTGGTGCATTATTTGACAAATTGATTTGTGGAGATTTGGAGGGAGTGGGATTAAATTATGGGCACTAACTTGTGTAGTGAGCTCTTTAAGAATTGAAAGTTTCTCTTGTGGGGAGACTATAAATACCCACAAATTATTATGTAAAATGAAGATTGTGGAGGAATGAAATTGAGATCTCAAACTTTTACCTTAGAAATTTGAGCATCATCTTTACAATTTATAAGTTTCAAGCAATTCTTGTCGTAGATTGCATCCGAGCCATTCAATCAAGCCTTGATAAAATTCGATTGTAGGGTGACTCAATTCAGAACAAGATTCCAAATCTTGCTTCTAGATATTTGATATTAAGAGGTAATCTAATTCTAGTATTATCTCTTGGTTGATCCGAATTTTGTATAAAGAGGTGTTAATTTCTTTAATTCAACAAAAGCTTGGATCGTTGGGCTGATGATTAAGGTTTCTTTATCACCCATGATTTCCATTCATAGCATAACATTAACATCATTTTTTTTTCTTTCATCCATGACATAGTACATATATGCATCATGTATACATCACATAGCTTTAGATGACAATAAATAACATGATATACATAGTATTGCAATTCATTTACAACATGGCATAATAGATATCACATAAATACATACCATAGCATCCTATGTCATTACATAGAACACAATCACATAACTATATACATACCATAGCATCCTATGTCATTACATAGAACACAATCACATAACATAATTAATATGGTGCATGCAGAGACCATGAGACATGTACGATCATATATCATTCAATTATCTAACTCCAACCGTAAGATCACTTACCTTATTAGCTTAGGCTGGTATTACCAATTTATTCTTAATAAAAGTTCAATTTTTTCTTTTCAAATCCAAGTCAACTGATGTGAACCATTGACATAAATTTGAAGTTAAAACTTCTGAAAAACTAATTCTCTAAATTTTACAATAGTCCATGTTAGACTTCATGCAACCATTAGAGACTAGAGACTTTGCATGAGTAAAGTTTTGGAATATTTATATATGATTTCATGCGAACATTGGAGACTTTGCATAAGTCGATTCTTGAAATATTTATATATGTTCTCACACACACGTGTTAGACTTCATTCGAACATCAGAAACTTTGCATGAGTAGAATCTTAGAACACACATGACAAAAATATTTAAAAAATATGTCAATATTATTTCATGCTGCTTGGATCATATAATCCAATCCAAATATTGTTTAGGGTGGTACAGCTTGACAAAAATAAATAAATAAATAAATAAATAACAGAAGTTTTGGGGAATGGACTTACCGTAACAACCTCTTCTTATTAAGACAGTCCTTTCTTCGCCTATCGGAATTATTGAAGAGATTGATGGAGAATTTCTACGGGCTGATGTATAATCACTATGGTGTGAGACAAACTTTTTACTACGGTAAATGAAAATTTGGAGAGAATTTTGCGTGACAGAGTGAAAGTTGGTGGGGGTAACAAATTTGGGGAGATGGGTTGTGATAGGTTAGTGGAGAGATAAGAAATCAGTGTTTTTTTTTTTTTTTTTTTTTTTT